ACTTTCCCACAGTCGCAATGTTGCAAGCCTGTCTCTACTTTATCGCTATTTCCACGGCAAATGTTCTGACGAGCTTCATTCCCTATTGCCACCAATTCAGATTTTCACGGTTAAGACACGACATACTCACAGGGGATATCCATTCTCATTCACTTCGGATCCCATTGGTAAGAAGAAATTTCCATTCGGATAGCCTCTTTAAGCGCTACTGTGTTGTGGAACAGGCTTCCCCGAGGATGCTTCAACGAACACCACCATCTTAAATTCTTCAAGACTACGGTCAAACCGTTACCTATATTACCATAATCATAATCTGAACTTAATTCCCCTTTCCCCTTCCTGTATCAATACATCAATGTCAATCTCAAAATATTTTCTGGCTTTAAATAACCTGCAAAATGTTGATAAACCGTAGAAATCGAATCAATCAATTAAGATCAGAAGCCATGAGAGCCATTCAAATGCATCGATGCATGGATTAGATGTTAGTCTAAGATATAAAGAAATTGAATATAGAACAGGTTGTAGTATTTGTAATTTTGCCCCAATTCATAAATTGCCAAAAAAATTAAGGTCGGCATAAAATCTCGAATTATTTTCTTAAACAGATCACGTCAAAATCGAGACTTTCATGTGATCCCATGGTGGGCGCGAAACTGCATACGCATTCTCATATCAAATTGTATACAAATTCTCATATCAAACTCTATATGCATTCTCATATCAATCTCTATACACATTCTCATATCAAATTCTATACACATACTCATATCAAACGTTATACGCATTCTCATATCAAATTCTATACAAATTCTCATATCAAACTCTATACACATTCTCATATCAAACTCCATGCACATTCCCATATCAAATGCTATCCACATTCTCATATCAAACTCTATACACATTCTCATAGCAAACTTTATACGCATTCTCATATCAAACTCTATACACATTCTCATAGCAAACTCTATACATATTCTCATATCAAACTTTATACGCATTCTCATATCAAACTCTATACACATTCTCATAGCAAACTCTATACACATTCTCATATCAAACTTTATACGCATTCTCATATCAAATTTTATACAAATTCTCATATCAAACTTTATACACATTCTCATATCAATCTCTATACACATTCTCATATCAACCGTCATATAGCCTGACGTGCTTTTACCGATTCCGCCACAGTGGAGCGTTTCAGTTAGCAAGGTCGATTTAGTTTGTATTTACTATATTTATATAGTCTGATAATTGCATCATCGAAGCTTGAAAATTACAGTTATCATGCAGAAAGTTCCTATGTCCATATTATATGTATATATATACATGTGTGTGTGTGTCTGTGTGTGTGTGTGTGTTTTTTGTGTTTGCTGCGTATGTATGTGCGCGTGTAAATCTGGATTATTTTGACTGCACTGGAAATCTTAAAATAATTGTCATTGCATACAATTCGATTTGAAATTCTCATTCGGTCAAATCATTTTATTGCAACTTGTGTCCTTGTTTTTCTAAATTGATCTAGCCATTTCCTTCGTCATTCCAATCCATGATCCAACGGCGATTCCTGTTATTAATCTCAAGCGTCTCATAAATTCTGCAAGGAAGAATTTGCTTTACGATTCAGCTGGTTCCTACTCTAAAGGATTGTGAAAATGCGCAGAAAAATAATATTTATAGCATCCGGCCCATGTTCTGGCACTTCAACTTGGGCATGCAGAGCTGTTTGGAGCGTCAACAGTAAATTAAAATTGGTAAGAAGGTTAACGTGCGATGATCCAATTCTCACGCTCACCCTGAAGTAATCGGCATTTAACCTGGACCTGAAAATCCCTGCCTCATCAATCTATTTTCATTTCCAGTTTTATTGACTTTCTGATGACATAACAGCATCCATAGGCAATCTATTCTGCGTAAACCCTTTTGCTTCACGTCAGATATACAGATCTTTTCACAAAGACACAGTTCACAGAGACTTAGGTTATTGTTAATCTCAACAAACTTCGTAGTTGCTTGCTCGCTTTCTTCCATGGTCCAACATACACGGTATTCATTATTCCATTTCCGTATGACGCTTAGAGCTTTTTCTTCAGTATCCACCCTTGTGCAAATTAATTGAAAGAAAAAGCGAATAATCCCGTTATTATTTATTTTTCTCATATTTTTCCAATGAAACATGACCCAGTGCACATGTTAGTACCTCGTATGTCCATTCCACGAAGTCGTTCCTTCCAGATTCACCACAGATTCTCGATTAGATTTAAATCAGGAGAGTTTCCGGTCCAGTCTATAGTACTTTGATATGCTCACTGGTAAGGCTTGCGAATCTGTTCGTGAAACGTTACAATTTTCGTACGCTTCCTTGGAGTAACGTCCATCGTAGACTGGCCGTAGGACAACTAATCGATACAGGAAACAGTAATGTCTGGGAGTGATGAAACATGACCCATTGCACATGTTAGTACTTCGTATGTCCATTCCACGAAGTTGTTCCTTGCAGATTGACCACGGATTCTCGATTAGATTTAAATCAGGAGAGTTTCCGAGCCATTCTATACAACTACAGTACTTTGATTTCTTCACTGGCTTGGCCTGCCAGTGTGTTCGTGCAGCGTTAAAATTTTCGTACGTTTCTTTGGAGTAACGTCATCGCAGACAATGACTGCAGAACAACTAATCGACTGTCGAGACAATAGTTTTGGGGCGTGATGAAAATCTGATGCAATTATGGATGACGCAATATTTTTCAAGGCCAAACAAATTTCATCATACACCCCGAAAATAGATTCATATTAATGCACACCGCTGCAAATGACTTAATCTGAGGAAAGAATAGAAATCGATTACACCATGTCACTCCAGTGGGTCTGAAAACTGACTATATGGTGAAAAAATGAAACTAAAGTGGTTGTTTCAATTAATTTGCACAAGGGTGTAACTCTACAATATCAATTTTATCTTGGAATCTTTTTTTTCTTTTACAGGACGGAGGTGAACAGGGATCTCCTCCACTTCTTTTCCTTTTTTGTTACTACGCCTCTCCAGTCCCTGTTGTGCCTGCTAGATATGGAAGGATGAAGGATGCTTATTCGTTTTTTTCTCTCTGTTCCTCTTGCTTTGGCTATGTTTTTAAACATCGCTCACGAAAACGACACTCGGAACAACGCTTTTCAGCATAGATGTTTACCAGAGTCAAATAAACACGCTTTTCCTGAGCTTTTAGGACGCATGTCTTATTATACCTACGCTTTATGTTAAATGATAATGTCTATCATCATCTGCTTCTTTTTTTGGGTGGGGTTGTGTTGGGGGGTTCTTCTAGATATCATGAACCCAAAATGTGAGCAACAACAAGGTTTTGCAGAAAATAAAAACAAAAAGGAAACTTAAATCTAACATCCGAAAGAGGTAGTTGAAATTCCTGGGGCCCGTAATGAGAAAAGAAGGGCTTGGAAAACCTGATGCTCACAAAGTTTGATGGAATGAGAGCCAGAGGAAAGCAGTGTGTAACTTACTTGATGAGCTTGATTAAATGGATGACAGAATTGGGTTTGGGTGAAATAACAAAAACAAACAACTTATTAAGAGCTACAGGGGACAAGAAGATGTGAAGGGCCATGATCTACTCTTATATGGCAGTGAATGTTGGACAATATCCTCACATTTTGGAATAAAAGAAATATGGTTCTACAGAAGGATATTTTGAATACAATGCACCGAATATGTGAGCAACGAAAGTGTTTTAGAGAATATGAAGCAAAATGGAAATTTATATTTAAAATCAGAAAGAGACAGTTGAAATTTCTAGGGCACATAATGAGGAAAGATTGTTTGGAAAATTTGATACTCACAGCGCAGACTGAAGGCAGAGGGAAATAATTCCTAAGGATGCTGGTTGACGGGAGCAGTTTTGGGAAAGATAGCAAAAACTAAAATTTATTAAGAGCTAGAAAAAACAGGAAATTGTGGGGAGCCATGATCACCAATGTCCTGAAGTGACACGGCAAATAAAAGAAGAAGAATACACTAAAAAGAATTCAGATAAAATGTCTTCTTTAGGGAGGCACTTTTATTGTGACAATGAAAGATTATGAATTTATATAACTTTTCTGTTAATAAATGCAAATCCCTTAAACTTACACTTTAGGTATTTTTCTTCTTGTGTTGAATTGCAATTACAAATAGCAATTATACAGGCGCTTTTTTTTCTGTTTTAATTATCGCTTAAGTCACAGTTATCTGCTATTTGACATGAATATTAATGATTGCCGATTTTTTTACAAGGCATCAGTTCCTTTATCGTCTTGTTCTGAATATCTGTCTCGGTTCTATTTTGCATTTTCTCCCCGTCTACAAGAGTTACTTATTATTCTCTGCGATACTGCATCTTTGGTACTGACGAACTTATTTCAAATTCCAGTTGACGCAGATTACTTCCAACAATTACGTAGACAAGGCATGGATCTACATAACCCTCAGCTTCGTCTTACAAACTATCAAACTATTTATGTGTTAGGCATAATCCAGTTGCCGACGACAAAGTTTAGCAAAGTCAGTGTTTGTGCAAGAATCACGCCCGCCATTACGTTAGCTGCCAGGCCATTAGCAACAAAACTAATTATAGGTTTTGCAATTCAGGCTACTAGATGAGTGTCTAGGGTGGCCTTTATCAAGTGCAAAGTGGAATTAGCGGAGTTTGAATTCCAACCTTGACTGTTGCAAAAACTTTCGCACTAATTCCCTTGGTTGGTTTGTCGTTTTGTTTTTCGGCATATCAACACCTATGGAATATTTCCTGCCGAAGTCTAAATATGATGTACTCGTATTTTTAGATAATAATACAAATCTTACTAATTAACCCATATCTGTGGGGGAAGGAAGAGATTTGTACCTTCCCCAAGGATATTTGTGCGTAAGTGAATATAACGATCACAACCGGAAGCGGAAGTCTGCTCTCCGACTAACAATCCATCCCCCCTCGACATCCAATCTTACGGCATCTGTTATTTCCAAGTGGTCATCCATCTAAGTACTGACCAAACTCGACGTTGCTTAACTTCGTTGATCGTACAGGAATCGTTGTTCCGGTACAATCAATGTGATGTGGTCGAAAGACTAATTGGTTGGAAATGTCATTAATTCACCCTTTTTTTCTTCCCGTAGTACGGTAAATAGAAGGGTTTACTGGGATCACTATTATTGGATAGCTCCCAGTCTACGCAAATGTCTTCTTTAATATAAAAAGCGTGAAAAATATAGGAGGAAACCTCGCCTCTATCTTTCACAAATTTTTTGTTACTTAACAGATAAAAAGAGGAATCTTTAGAGTTCTATTCGTCCTCAAAAGATATTGCCTTTTAAAAAAACTCTAGCGATCGTGTTCCTTTAGTTTATTCTAAAAAAAAATGTCGGCTGCTCTACAACCCGAGCCTCTTTAGCTGATATTTGTCCTACTCGGTGGACGTTTTTGAAATTTCTCCAAATATATTTTCTCATTATATTTAAAAAAATCTTTTTTCTGATCCTAAGCTCAAGTGTTCGTTTTGTTTCCATTTTTCCATAAAGCTTCCTTGTTTATTATTTACATTATTCGAACTGTTGTCCTCACATTTGTCGCCATATTTATTACAACGTTTCGGCCGTTGTACGCTCCGGCCTTCTTCAGGTGGTTTGAATGTCAAACGGAACACTTTATTTCGCTCACTGAGGTAGACTGTTCTAGCTCCACAAGTCATGTTTAATGGATGTCAGTTATCAGTTATCAGCTGTTAATTCTCCTCTCCAAGTTCTCCACTGCCTTAACCGGGTATTGAACTCACACTCTTTGGGTCCTGTCACTGGATCTAACCAACGCCTTTATCCTTGAGGACACATGTCACAGTGGATAAAGGCGTTGGTTAGATCCATTGAACATGGCTCGTGGAACTAGAACAGTCTACCCCAGTGAGCGAAATAAAGGGTTAAGTTCGACATTGCAACCACCTGAAGAAGGCCGGAGCGTACAACGGCTGAAATGTTGTAATAAATATGGCGACAAAGATGAGGATAATAGTCCGAATAATGTAAATAATGTACATAATACATCATCTCAGAAATATAGACAGATAGTGAAAGGCCGAAACGTTGTAATAAATATGGCGACAAAGATGAGGACAATAGTCCGAATAATGTAAATATTGTACATAATACTTCATTTCAGAAATATAGACAGATACTGAAAGGCCGAAACGATGTGATAAATATGGTCACAAAGATGAGGACAATAGTCCGAATAATGTAAATAGTGTACATAATACTTCATCTCAGAAATATAGACAGGTACTGAAAGGCCGAAACGATGTGATAAATATGGCCACAAAGATGAGGACAATAGTCCGAATAATGTAAATAGTGTACATAATACCTCATCTCAGAAATATAGACAGATACTGAAGGACCGAAACGTTGAAATAAATATGGCGAGAAAGATGAGGACAATAGTCCGAATAATGTAAATAGGGTACATAATACATCATCTCAGAAATATAGACAGTTGCCTTGTTACTCACATGCTCCGTTCATTGTATTCTCAGCAGTTATATCTCTTTTGTTACAAGTCTTCTCTTCATCTGTGTGGAGATTGCACTGCATCCATGCCATATAAAATGAGTATCATTACATAGAAGTTAGTACTATAACGTTAATTCTCAAAGAATTTTCCGGTTTTCTTACTGTGTTGTAAATTATCTTTCTCTATTCTCATATTCCTTTGGATTAGTGTTTCAGATCTTTAAGAAGGAAATAGTCAAATTAAAAAAAAAAGAAGTTTTATTTGGGGGAAATTATCATATTATCCAAGAATATTACCTGTGTACAAGAATAACCGAAGAACATATGCAATACTGCAGAGAAACTTTTAATTCCAAAAGGGATTCTAAACTAAACAAAACAATATTAGGGAAGAAGACGATGGACTACTTCCTGTATTGTGTGGCTCTTCGTAAAGTTTGTCTTTTTTATATCCCTACTTGTCCTTTTTCTGTCAACCATTTACAAAGGTTTGTTAGATAGGTTAAACTCTGCTTTCCACAGTTTCTCTTGCCTTCAGTATGTCCTGTCAGTGTCAAATTCTCCAAACCCTTTTTCCTCATTGTGTGCCCTAGAAATATCACCCCTCTCTCTCTCTCTCTCTCTCTCTCTCTCTCTCTCTCTCTCTCTCTCTCTCATTCTAAGTTTAAGTGACATTCTTGTTTCGAATGTCCCTAAAATCTCCTCTATACTCACATGTTCAGTCCATGGAATCCTGTATCCATTTATAGAACCAGATTTCAGTTGTCTTGCGTTTCTTCTTCACCTATTAGGAGATTGCCAAACATCTACTGCCAAGAATTAATATTACATAGCATTTTGCTATTCTTTCTTTGTTTCTAACGAAATTTCTCTTTTTTTAATACTTTGCTTAGATTTGGGAAGACATCTTTCTCTACTACATTATACCTTTGTATTTCGGTGTCTGGTTTTCCGACCTCTGTTTAAACACTTCCTAGACATTAAAGTTTTTGTATTTGTTTGGGTTTAGTGTCCCCAATTTGTAGTTCGCATTGTATACTTTGTATAAATAAACAGCGACAAGAGAATCTGAAAAATAATTGAATAGAATAAAAAAAGCAGCTTGAAACATGGCTTCAGAAAATTAGTTATCGACTGAGACTGTCTGTTTATCATACGTTTTCAGTGGGGATTATGAATTGTTTTCAACTTTTACTTGTATTTTTACTGTTAGCTCCTATTCGATTCTATAAAAGATCTGATTGTGCTGATTCTTTTTCGATGCTTGCAAAGAATATTCAGACAACAAAACGTTGAAGATTACAACACATATATCGACAAATGACTTGTACTATACGTATATGACGCATGCGCGGTGATACGTACAGCTTATATCTCAGAAAGAAAACACAATGAATATAAGATAAGTTTTTTTTTCTTCTTCTTTTTCACGTAACCTAGACGCCACTAGCACGCAAGGGGTTACATAGGATTGAGAACAGGAGTAAAGAATCGTGTTTCTGGAGAGGATACAGAGAAGGGCGGGAAAGAAGCTCAAGGTGCCAGATGTCGATTGACATTAAACTTGAATATTTGAAGATTATAGTAATCGGGGAAGCAAATAAGCGGAAGGGAGTTCTACAGACGGGGAGTACGGGAAAAGAAGCTGTTTGAGAAGAAGAGACGATTACATTTAACCGTTTTGACAGTTGTTATGGGATTTTACCCATAATAATAATAATGGACTATTCCATAATAAATACTGCGCCTCAGGAGTAGGAAAGGAGTCTTGAAGGACAGATCGGTTGAACTTTCAGCTTTCAGGCGTGGAGGACCCCAAAAGAGGCTACACCGAAGGGCGTATTCTCTTTCGGGGAGGTAAACTGACCCTGAACCAATTTATACGGGTTCAGTGGGCATATTTTTGGCCGAGCCCACGGGCTCCGAGAGCCCACGTTAAAAAGGCCTTGTGTCACATGACGCCCTCTCGGGGGGGGGGGGGTGACTGAATATCGTCAGTCGCTCAAGTCTTGAACGACAGATCGGTTAATCTCTCTGCCTTCGGGCGGGGAGTAACCCGAACGAGGCTACGCCGAAGGGCGGAGTCTCTTTCGGGGAGGTAAACCGACCCTGAACTCGTTTATACGGGTTCAAAGGGCATATTTTTGGCCGAGCCCACGGGCTCGGAGATCCCACATTAAAAATGCCTTGTGCCACATGATGCTCTCGTGTATGGGGGGGTGACTAAATACCGTGCAGCCTGAAGTCTGGAGTGAAGTCCGTCAGTCAGTCAGAGCGAGCGAGTCAGTCTGTCGAGTCAGAGACAATTACCACTAAACCTGATTGTTCGTACTAACACTTTCTAATTCTCTGTATATATTCCTGTTTGTAATATATCTGTGTTATTCCATATCCGTATTCGAGTTCTTCTTTATTGGTTCTACCTTGGACTATCACCGTGGTACAAGGAACCGGACCATAACAGTGGCGAAGAGCGATTCGAACTCATTCGGTGGAAGAAAAAAAAAATTGTTCGCCACAGCATAACAGTGGTGACGAGGAAACGAACTCTCTACGCGGAGGACATACTTTTTTTTTTTTTTGCTATCCGTCGCGCATAACAAGTGGCGACGAAGATTCGAAGTCACACGTGAAGAACACAACAACAAAATCCTCTCTCGTCAACATAACAAGTGGCGACGAAGAAACCCCTAAAAAGGAAATACGAACCCTATATACGGAGGACTTTTTACGTCACACTTAACACGTCACAAAACTTAAAAAATAAAGTGGCGGATCTGAAAAAAAGAAAAAGAAAAAGTTTATTGTTAAATTTCACTGTTTTTTGCAATGGGTTACAAAAAAAAATACGTTAAATAATATTTTAACCTATTATAGAACTTATCAAAATCCAGTTTGAACCAACAAAGGTACGAACAAAAATCTAGTTCTTGTTACGTGCTGGCAAATCAAAACGCGAATCAGTTCTCTCTCATTTTTGGAGTAATATCAAACAAACCGAACTGATTTTCCCGCCTCAAGAGCAGGTAAAACAAAATTTTCTAATTATAATCAACATAAAAAGAAACTAGCACCAAGTCCATGCTATCGCTGTGGGTCTTGACATTGGGTTAAAGACTGTACATATCGTGATAAAACTTGTCTATCATGTAAAAAATTAGTCACAAAAGTTCTCACTGTTGGTATAGTTAAAAAGCAGAATAAGAATTACGAGGACCGACCAAACAGATGAGACTAATATAAGAAAATATGTACAAGTTGAAATTCAAAACAGAAAAGTTAGGTTAAAGCTGGATTCTGGCTCAGACTTAACTCTACAAACATGGAGAAAACTGAACAAACCCATGGACATGTTAAAAACGGATAAAATTGCGAGATCAGTTACGGAGAGACAGATAAAATTCGAGGATGAAATAATCACAAACGTAACATTTAACGGAATGACGAAAAAACTAAAAATGTGCGTCTTAAGAAATACCGAAAACCTATTCCGCACAGACTGGATGCAAAAATTCGAATTATGGTATCTACCTATTAGCGCCTACTGCCAGAATGTAAAAAGC